CATAAGTGGAAGTGACTTAAAGCTATGAATGGAACTCACATGTCTTGAAATGGTTCAAGTCACAAGCTCAAGGTCAAGGTTGATTTGCTCAAAGGATTGAGACAAACATGGTTGCAACCTCTATTGAGAAGATACGGCATATGAGGACATTGAAGACTCAAGTGGTTAAAATAATTTTATCCTTTTGCTCTTGAGTATAGGTATGCCGTACTATCAAAGGGATGCAACACGAATAGTTAGACAAGTCTCAACTGTTCAAACTAACCGAACCCTGAGTGCTAACATGAGAGAAACAATTGCACAACACTTGCACTGGTTGATCTTAGAGCTTGTTCTTGGTTGGGTTGGATGTCCTTGGAATAAGATTTCCAAAAAGTCCAAGATCATCAAAATCGGGATCCAGAGTAAACAGTTATGGCTTTCTTCCTAAGGCGTGCTGTGCTGTTTTCTCATACCGCTGAACTTCAGCGGTCTGACAACCATAATGGCTAGTTCTTGTGGGAGTGGGTATATATACCCCTCCCACGCCCTCGGTGCTCCTGGTGGTGCCCTGGACATTTCTAACTACTTCCAAAGCCTTGTGAGCTCTCTACCAACCCCTCTCTTTGTGAGAGTGTGCTTAGTGAGTGATTAAGTGTTGGGGTGAGAGATTAAGTGTTTGAGAGCAAACCAAACCTTGAGCACTTGCTAGGCTTCGTCATTCTTCATGAAGCATTTGTTACTCTTGGAGGGGAAGCCTCCTAGATGGCTAGGTGTCGCCCTGCGAGCTCCCAAGCTTGTGGTGAGCCGTGGGAAGTTTGTATTGCCCTTTTGTGGCTTAGTGGAAATCCTCAAGCTCGATCTTTATGGTTCGCTTGAGAAGAGGTAGTAGTTGGAAGAGACTCCGAGCCTTTGTGGCTTCCTCAACAACGAGGACGTAGGCAAGCTTTGTGGCTCCACAGAACCTCAGGTTAAATCTCGTGTCCCGCCTTTTGTTTTGAATTGCAATAATTCTCTTTCACTTGATCTACTTGGTTGTAAGTGTCTTTGAGTGCAAGTATTTTGTGAACTTGCTACTGGACATCTCCAAACACATCTACAAGTTTAGTTTGAGCTAGGATTCTAGTTGTTCATGTTATTTGAGCTTTTCTGTGTTCTGCTGAAGTTCAGCGTCCAAGCGCGAAAGTTCAACACTCTGCTAATCTATTGAGAAGTTTTGTTTATTTTTAATTTTCATAATCGCCTATTCACCCCCTCTTTAGGTGACATTAAGGTCCTTTCAAATGATATTTTGCCCTGGCAAAAATGCAGTTTGAGATGGTTTGATAATTCTTTGAGCAACTTTAACTGTTCTGTTAGTAGCAACTTAGTTTGCATTAGGAACCCTTTCCTACTCTTTATTTTTTCTCACATCCTTCCATACTGCTATAGTAAAAGCAACGCAGACAGTCTAAAAGCTTTTTCGTAGGCGGACAAGAAATGCAGACGGTCTAAAAGCTTTTTCACAGGCGGGCATCTTGTCTGCCTGCGCTGGAACGTTTGCGAAAACGGGCATTAACGCAGGCGACACAAATGCCCACCTGCGTAAATCAATTTAAAAAATAGCCCAAACCAACGATGAGCCCATACAGGGCCACCGTTGAGCCCAACCAAGTCCACGCCATCTTGGATGCACCGCCGCCGCCGTCGTCTCCATGCCCGCGCCATCTGTCATCCTCCTAGATCCGTCACGGGGGTGTGGCCCCTCGCCGACGTAGCTCGTGGATGAGCCGCTGGGCCCTCCACGCCACGCGCGTGGGTCTCCTAGACCCGCCGCCGTGTGTGTCCGCCTCCTAGATCCGCTGCCGGCGAGGGGCCGCATGCCTCGTGCAGCGCCCCCGCATCGCCGTCGGAGGGGCCGCGCTCCCTGCGCTGCTTCAGCCATGTGCGTGCGGCTGATGGAGGAAGAGAGGCTGGATTTGGGGCTTAAGGTTTCATTTCCTTTATATAGTGTGGCATGATTTCTAGGCTAAATGGGCTTCCTAGTGGGCTAAGAGGTTCGCATACGAAAATGGCCTTTATTTTTGGAGGTGGACCTTTTAAGACACTCGTCTCCATAAATTAATTTTAGGAGATGGGCAAAATTTGACTATCTGTGTAAATAAAACGTTAGTCTTCGTAAATCCATTTTGCGAGATGGGCTATTGTGACCGCCTACGCAAATAAAATGACCACCTCCGAAAATCCGCAGGCATTTTAGGAGACAGTTGCATTTTGTGAGCGTCGGACTGTGCCTCGCAAAATCATTTTTTAGTAGTGCCACCTTCAGATTGACTGATGGATACGCGCGCATATGTATCCGCGTGATCATGTTGATTTTTTCTCAAATGCAAAAAGGTTAGGAGTTGATAGAGAATTGTTGGAGAGTAGTTTTTTTTCAATCTCGCCAAAATATCAAGATTTGGAGTGGGTTTTAGAAAATGCTCTAAAAAAGCTAGAACGATATATAATTGAAAAAGGAGGGAGTAGTATTCACCTAGATTCCTATTCCTATGGTTTTCGATTTCGGATTCAGATATCTAGTCAGTTTACTAAAAAAGAATCCTGACGTATTTGTCAAATCAAACGGGTGGGAGGGTGGATGCGGACAGGAACGGGAGAATCAAACTGAACAGGACTTTGAGCATTGTTGCCGTGCATTCTACATTCTAGGCCCTCTTGTCAGCGAAGAAAATTAATTCTGAGCAAGAAAGAAAAAGATGGGGCCTGATTATAATTTTTTGAGCTAAAACAAATTTTATTGAATTTTCTAATATTAAATCATTTTTAGTATTGTTAAATGCATATCCATTCTAAAAAATATTTGGATCATTTTAAAAATTTATTTCTATACTTTTTTATAAATTTTAATTGACTTTCCTGAACTATTGTAAAAGTCCTATTTATTTTCTTCGTTCCTGACGTGGTGCCATGTAAGATGACTGCCATGATGCCACGTTAACCAAAATCCTTTCCAAACCATTCAGAAAGGTAAATCAAACGGTTTTAATAGTTTGAGAAGCGCAAATATCCGGTTTTACCGTTTTAGAGCGCCACCAGGCACCAGCTACATACATGCACCTTCCGAAGTGCACAGCCCAGCCCATAAAAGATCAGTCTATAGTTTCAAAAAAAAAGATCAGCCCATCTCACGTTAGCAAGTAGCAACCCTAGCTACACAGGCCGAGCACGAGTGCACGACCACCACGTCCCTCTTGCAATGCCGCATCCAGCGGCCAGCGCGCAGGCGTCAGCACTCGCGTACGGTGGCGCGTCCGCAACCGCGGTGACTGGCGGCACCAAGCCGGCCATCGGGTGAGTCACTACTCGCTACTGTAGGTGAGAGTGAGAGGTGCGTGCTCCGTTCGCTTCGCTGGAAAAACAAACCGAAACACTGTTCTACCTGATTTGTTGTGAAAAAAAAATATTGTTTCGACTAAAAAACAAGCTAAAAAGTACAAATTACAGGAGTAACGAACATGCCTATCTGTCCCTACCGGTGGTGACGTGAGGGAGGAGTTCGCGGTAGCTATCAAAGTTTCCTTCTTTAGGCGAGCACCTGACCACCTGGCGCATCAGTCATCATGGACCCGACTGGACTTCTTTTTTCTTCATTTGGACTAGGTAGCATGTTCGTGCGTTGCTACAGGATAACTAATATTTTGTACTAAAAACACACGGATCATACGATAAGATAACAATACTGTAAAAATTAAATATCAACGTTATAGTGACATTTAATCCAAAAAACAAAGTTTATGAATTTAACACAGTCACGGAGTGCGCGGCGTCGTAGGCTCACAAACTCTATTTTATAGACCTTTCCGTGATGCGGCTAAGATAATATTTTATATTGGCAGGAAGAAATCTCTAATATCCATTTCTTTCGTGCTCACAAACTAATGACCCTGGTGCAACAATGGAAAATACAAAGGAGCTATCCTCGTTAATGCGCGGAACCAACGCCACTACGATCGTGCCATCCCACGACCACTGGTATGGTGTTGTTTAGCACTATTGTTCACTATTATCGTTAACTTGCTTCGTTGGTTTTATTCAAGTAATTTATGTTTGTAATTATGCAGGTGCTAATTCGGTTGATCCCACATTAGCACATGAGAAAAGTGGGGAACGTCGACAAAACTCATGATGGCATACACCAAGTAATAAAAGCAGGAGTAAACTCACGTTTTGTCATTCAGATTCCTAATGGAGAAGCGTTAGAGGATGTGTTTACATAGTAATAAACTTCAAGTGGACGTTCCACGAGTAGTTAGATTTACATATTTTCTGTTTTTTAATATTAGATGGCCATAAATTTTTCAGCAAAACTGACAATTAGAAAGGCTGGTTTGACAAAACAACAAAGCATGCCCACAGGCTTAGCGCTCTTCTAACCCGTAGCTAGGCATGGAAAATTGATTGTCAGAAAACTATAAATATCTTCATGACAGCCAACTTAAACAAATGCTAACCTTAACAGATTTAACCAAGGAGCCAGTAACGAAATAAATTTTGACAATGATGAAATGGTATTCTAATGTCCAGATTTCTTATCAGACTCTTTCAGCAATTGTCCAATCTACATACAACTCAAAGAGCATCCCATGAGTGATGTACAAAAACAGTCCATATTATAGAGAAACAATTAGCATTTTTATTGTGTATATATTCCCCCCGAGTATATATTCCATGCTAAAATTCAGAGGGTAATTGTGCAATCAGATGTAACATGCAACATGAGACTAATTAATCTCCGGAGACCCTTTATGGTACTACTTGCTAAAAATCACATGTGCTAAAAATTCTCGACGTAGGTCCTTCTCCTCCTCGACGTAGGTCCATCTACGAGGACACAGCCACCAAGGTTTGCTAGCATGGAGACACATTTTGTCGAACATGTTGCTTGCGTTACATTCCCCACTTAGGTGTCCGCTTTTTTGCACATAAAGGAGAGCAGGGAAGGGGTGGGCATACCCTGGTTGACCACCTGCGCTGCCGGGATGCCGCGCACGGACGCGTGCGCCGCCTCCAGCACTAGGACGTCGTGCCACCTCACGGTGGTCGGCTTTGGTGGCGCTAAAGAGCTGAAAGGCGAGCCCGGTGTCCTGGACGAGGATATGGTGGATGTTGTCGAGGAGCGACGCCTAGAAGTGGCCAAGCTGAGCGCGTCCTTCTTCACCAGCACCACGGTGCCCCCGATCCGGCCCTCCAGCACCGTGGACGCCGCGCGCGCCTCACGGTGGTCGAAGGCGTGCAGCACGGCCAAGCGGGGAGTCACGAAGGGGAGGGAAGCGATGCCGCGATCGCAAGAGGAGCGACGAGCAGGGAGGAGACCGAGGCAGATGGAACACGTGAGCGTGAAACCAAATGAAAGGAGGAAAAAACTGTCCCTTTTACAAATGCAAAGAGGGGAAGTAATTAAATGTAGACAGATTTGGTAAGGTTCTCAGAAATATAAAGATGTTTTTTTTGTCTTAATTCTCTTTCCTTCTATGTTAATTCTCTTTTTTTTGCTCGTTGACATGTATACTGGTGAATGCAAACATGCAATGTGTATATGGATAACACAATAATTTTCTACTTACTATTTTGCCGTGATTCCTCTATCACATGACAGGCAATATTCAATCAAGGAGATGTCGTGGGATCGCAGGCGTGGGCAGACGGACGAACCAAAACAAATATCGCATAAAAAAATATCTACACTTTGTTCTTTTTAGTTGTAGGAAATTTGATCTCTGCACCTCTTTTGTTTTAGTTTGGTCTAACTTTTATGTTATAAATTTCTATTCCTATGATTCTCGATTCGGTGATTTCAGTTTTCCACAAGAAGAATCCTCACTTTTTACAAATCAAATCAAACGGAGAAAGGGTGGATGCGACAGGAACGGAAGAATCAAGCTAAATCGGACTTGAGCATTGCTGCCCACTTGTCAGTAAAGAAAACTTAATCACTTTTAACATTAGAAAATGACAAATTATATACTCCATCCATTCTAAATTCTAGGTCGTTTTGATTTTTTTTACATCAATTTGCTATGCATCGAGATATAATAATATGTCTAGATATATAATAAAATGGATGAATAAAAAAATTAAAGCAACTTATAATTTAGAATGGAAGGAGTAATTTATAAACTGATGATCTTTCCCGACCCAAATTATACAAGTTGCCGATATGACTGGTCCACGTGTTCAACCTACAGTGACCAAGTGACTTAACCGCTGATTGCCCTTAAAATACCAAACCTATAGTGACGTAACGCATGATGCCCAAACTCCTATTTTTCCCACGGATACGGATGCTTTTAAAATCCCCCCCCAATCCCGCATTTCATGTCTCCCTCAAAGCGCGGCCGGCTGCCTTGTGGGCCCGTGTGTTAGTAATGGGGAGGGAGAAGCTAGGGGTAGAGGTGGTCATTTTACTCGAAGATGCTGACTCGAATTCAAACTAAGCAGAGCTGATATGTCACACGAGCAAAAGTAATAAATATGTATCGTTTTTCTTTCTCTACTAGGATCATGCCCGTGCGTTGCAACGGGAACAAAATAACATCACAGTAATTTTAAGTTTAATCATGCATATTAGCCTGTGAGTGTTATTTCTTTATGTGATTGCAGCATTTCATCAGATTTCTCAGCTTTTCTTCAACAATCTCCACAAGGAAACCATTGATCACCTTAAGAAAACACCTTAAACCATTGAAACATATACTCATCTCTTCTATACCATAACCAGTAAAAAAATCTATAAGCCAATACCCAATAAAAGGGCAGCACTCTTAATGTAGCTTTCCTATATTATATTCCAGTAAAGTTAAAGAAGATGGTATTACAAGAAATTCATCTCGTACAAAGGACAGTATTGATCTATCCTTCATATTATTTTATTCATCTTTCCACTTCATGTTGGTACGACGATGCCCTACCAATATATAATGGCAGGAGTGGTAACATCCAGTGACTGTGGTGAGTAGTAACATCCTGAAAACTCTTCCTGATCCAATTGGCAAACATGTTTTACTTCTATTTTATGATCTCAGCTGCAAAATTAAAGCCACAGCTGGCAAGAAAGCCACCACTGACAAGAAACATGTTGCAGAAGTGCCGTACAAAGAGCTACTCAACCCATCAAAGTAATCAACAACGCCCAACCAACAAAGTCAGGATCTCGTAGTCAAATCTCGTGAAAATGACTTGAATGCATGTTAACAAAACTATGGCAATGAACGAAATAGTTAGGCCTTGCAACATGACAAAGTGCCCGAGAAGCCATGCAACAAAAAATGTATAGAAATTCTCTGCATCTATAATTTTTTGTCGACCTGTGATATAGCTAAAATAATTTAGTCGCATCAAGCAGATATTCTAGTTTCAAAAACATTCTCAGAAAATTGACGGCGTGGGGATGATCGTGGAATTGATCACGATTGTTATGGAAATTAATTTTTGCCTTTCTGATTTTCTAAGAATTAATCATGATTGTTACGAGAATTAATTTTTACCTTCCTAATTTCCTACGGTTGTTACGGGGATTGAGCTGATCCTATAGAATGAGTACTGTTGCATTTCTAATCTGATCGCATGGTGGAGCGTTGGTGTGGCAGACGGAATTGTTACGAATGTTTTACTCGTAGAGACTGCGAGCAGCCGCAATGATACAAAGTTAATTATCCCCACTACTCCAGTGACCACACCAGCGAAGCAGGGAGGGCCAGGCGCAACGCAACAACGCAAGGCGGCGGCGATGAGCTCTGCGGCTGCGGCGGCGACGATGACGGGGTCGGGGAAGGTGGTGTGCGTCACCGGCGCATCAGGGTACATCGCGTCCTGGGTCGTCAGGCTGCTCCTCGACCGCGGCTACACCGTCCGAGCCACCGTGCGGGACACCGGTGCGCGCATCCCGGCCCGTCCTCCTCCCCATCTCTTCTTCCCTTTCCCAATGATTCCTTGTGGTAGCTTGCGGAATTGCTGTGATGTTTTGTGAGATTGGTTAGGTTAGACTGGGAATTGATTGGTTGGCAGGGGACCGGATATTCTACCTTGGTAAATTTGGGATGGTAGATTTGGTACTACGTATTTTGCTTCTGGATCCACTTGCCGGAGGCACCACGAAATCTTGATTGCAACTGTATACTGAAAAATGCTGGTACCGATCAACTTGGTTGGTCAGTTTATTAAGGAGCACTTTGTATCCCCATACATATCACCACACCAAATTCCAGAAGCACTTTGGAGAGAATAAGCACCCTCTTCCAGAAGGGGAGGGCCCCTCTTTGGGTGGTGGTGGGGGGGGCACAGTAGAGGAACTCTGTGTCCTATGTAACCCTCAGGAACAAACAAAGGAATGTCATGAATATCGGCTAAAACATGTGGCTCAAGTGTCCAACCTCATGTTCAATCTCTTCAGCTTCATGTGTATTTCCTACTTCCCTTCCAAGTGGCAACGGATAAACGAATTTTATGGGACTCTGCAGTTCTCTATGTTGCGTTTGCACTTCTACCAAACTCTTGTATCTTTTTTTAATTTTTACTATTTTCGTGCTCTTTGTTTTTCATTTCACACACACCATAATTCTTTAGCAATATTACCTTTGACATACGGTCATTGTTGTTATCTTCACTTTTCAGCTGACCCAAAGAAAACATTGCACCTGACTGCGCTGGATGGAGCTAAGGATAGGCTGCACTTATTTAAAGCTAGCCTGCTAGAAGAGGGCTCTTTTGAGCCAGATTGCCCAACACAGAGCTGCCCCTACTATCAACAACAATTGATTGTGTGACCAACTGTTAAAAAAATGGAGAGAATGCCTTGGTTGTTTAATTCCAAACTCATAATACACATCACGCCATAGAAATCGAACATAATGACACTCAAAAAACAAATGCTGAATTGGTTTGGATTTACTACAAAAGCGGCACTTCTTGCTACCGTTCCAGTTTCTCCTAGTTAGGTTTTATTTTGTAAGAACTAGAAGCATGCCCCACGCGTTGCTGCAAAAATTATGAATGATTTAAAATGAAATTAGTTTATATATTACTTATACGAAGAAATAAACTGTTATAAACTAATTCTAGTGGATTGTGTGGCATGTTAACGTGGACAATAAAATGCTTGTGTGTCTCGCTAACGTGGACATCACAGTTGCATGTGCTAATGGTTTTTAATTGCATGTGATAGTGCATTGTTAAGGTGGACAGCTTGAATGTTGAGATACATCTCTAGTGGGGTTTAGGATCATAAGAGATATAGATATAGATTACTCCTTTCTTAAGGAACCAAAGGAAAAATTTAATCTTTAGAGGTACTTCCATACGCCAAATCTCATGCATAACCTTTACGTCGTTATTGATTAGGTATCTATACATGGATTTTATAGAGAAAGTGCCATTTTTATTGAGCAACTAGATAAATTTATCATTATCATCATTTAAATTAGTATATGTGCCACTCTTGCAACTAAATTGTTCCATTCCAGTAGCATGTTTCCAACTAATGCTCGTCTGAAAGACACATTGAGAGGGTTAGCATTGAGCACATCTACTATTATTGCATGTTTCCTATGCACAACATTAAACAATTTTGGATACTGAAACCTCAGAGCTCGAGGAGCCAACCAATTATCTACCCAAAATCTGATTTGCGATCCATTGTTTAGATGGAACTTTCCTAAATTTAGGATTTGGTCTTTGAGCCCCGTCAAACCTGCCCAAAAATGGGAAACTCCAACCCACTTCTCAACTTGGCTTAAAGTCTTATTTTTAAGGTATTTATTCCTAAGCAAATTTTGCCACATTCCTTCTTCATTACAAAGTTTAAAGAGCTAATTACTTAAAAGATCCTTGTTTTGTAGTTCTAGATTTTGTATCCTCAAACCACCTTGTTCCTAAGGTTGGCACAAAATTGGACCAGTTAACTAGTCTATATTTCTTGTTGTGTTACTCATTCTGCCAAAAGAACCTCGATCTGTAATAGTTGATCATTTTAAGAACCCCGACAGCATGAACATGGGTAAACTAGATAGGACATAATTTATTAACACTATCCTACCCCCATATGATAGGTGTTTACCCTTCCAACTACTTAATTTTCTCTCAATCCTATCCTCGATCATTTTCCAATCTTTGTTGTTCAATTTTCTAATGACCATTGGGACTCCCAAGTAGCGAAAGGGGTAAGAACCAATATTACAGCCAAAAAGTTGTGAATATTGGTCCTCACGTTCTTTTGCTTGTCCAAAGCAGAAGATCTCACTTTTGTGAAAATTAATTTTAAGGCCTAATAATTGTTCAAAGGCACAAAGAAATAATTTTATGTTCTTTGCCTATTCAATATCATGGTCCATAAAAATAACTATGTCATCTACATATTGCAAGATTGATAGGCCATCTTCAACTAGATGTGGAATTACGCCCTTTGCTTGACCCCCTTCCTTGGCTCCAGACATGATGATAGCCAACATATTAGCTACAATATTGAAAAGAATTGGCGAAAGTGGATCGCCTTGTCTAAGGCCTTTTCTAATTTGGAAGTAAGGTCCCACTTGGTCATTTATTTTAATACCCACATTGCCACCCTAGACATAAGCTTTGACCCAGTCACACCATGTTGGGTGAAACCCCTTCATTCTTGAGGTTTGTTGTAAAAATCCCAATTTACCTTATCATAAAAGCTTTCTCAAAATCGATCTTAAAAACAATGTCATTTTGTTTCTTTATGTGTAGTTCATGAATGTGTTGGTGTAAAATCATTGCACCCTTCATTTGAAAAATGCATCTAGCCCTTTAGTGGGTTTTGGTGATTAAATGACAATACAATTAAAGGTCTAACAAGTTTGCTAAGTGTTGAATAGGAAATAGAGTATAGGTCATACACATGAAGATTGCTTATCTCAACAAGAAGGCAAACTTGATGGTATACCACATAGTGTTCAAATGAAGGCCAAAGCTGTGTATTGTTGTACTGAAATATTATAGAAATAATCTAGTTCAATCAAAAGACAATAATGCAATTAGAGTTGATGAAATGGCTTCTCTGATGTGGGATATCATGGATTCATATGAGAGCAAGTATATTTGGCAAATGGCAAATGAGACATAAGTTGATGAATATGGATTGGTCGCATATAGGTGGCTAGCTTTGCATGAACAAGAAGAGATCAATTGTGGATGGATATTGATCAAACTAAAAGTATGAAGAGTGAACATGAACAACAATGGCATTATGAAGAAATAGCAAGCCAAGGAAGTCAAGTACGTTGATAGTGAAGTGTGTCAAGCCAAAATATAGAGGATACAAGGAATCATGAGTTGGCTTGACTATATTGATGTTGATCAAGATATATGATCAAAAGAAGATGAGGCTTGTCATGAAAGGTTTATGGACAATTGTTGGAGTATTACTTGGATAAGGATTGAAAGCATCTAGGCCCCTAGTTGGATTTCGGTGATTAATGTCAATACAAGATTACTATGACTAACGTGTGTTTTGCAGAGGCAACTAAGTTAGGTCATGGTAATGGAGATCGATTGGGCAATCGAGGTTGTCATGCCCCTACGATGGAAATCGTTTCGGTTTTCAAAGGATGGACGACAAGGTTAAGGATAACTAGTTCTAAGTGTCGATTGGAGTTGGAGAGACATTTAGAGTAGTTTAGGACTTTGTTTTTTCCTTTGGCCGTACTATAAAGGGGGGTATGAACGGGTAGCTTGACCTAGTTGAGTCTAGTGAGTTAGGTGTGGTGCACACTTGTTAAAACTAGCTCTAGGTAGCTCCTATGAATGCCTAAGATCCTTTGGAGCAAACTTCATTCACATATGTTGAAAGTTAGAAGTGAATGGAGGGTCAAACAACGACCAGACGCTGGCTCGGTCCATTGGCCGCAGTGGTCCGGTCGATTCGTTGATTGAGGTGGTTAAGTCTGTTGTGGCCGGACGGCTGGAAGGTCGTGTGACCGAATGACGGCGAGGGCTAGCGTCCGGTCGACTCGAGAAGGGTCGAGACTTGAAAAAAGAGTGGCCGGGACGCGTCCGGTCAATATAACCGGACCACGAGTATCCAGCGTCCGGTCGTTCTGATAAGCATCAAGAGCGGCCGGACGCCAGCGTCCGTTGTAATCTTAACCGGACCTGTCGGCGTCCGGTCATCACTTGAATGTTGGTTCGTGGGTTGAACTGACCGGAGCGTCCGGTCATCACACGATCGAGCGTCCGGTCGTCCCGCAGAAGCTCATAGCAGTTAGTTTTTTCAGTTTGCCTTATAAATAGAAGCTCCACTCGTGAGTGGAGGTACTTTTGCTCATTCAACAAATTTGAGAAACACGTTTGTGAGTGCCAAGAAGAGCAAGGTCCTAGAGAGGTGTTTGTGATTTGAGAATCCAAGAGAGTAGCCTCACTAGCAAATCAAGAGTAGCAAAGTGTGCATCCATCTTCTCATTAGGCTTCGCGTGGTCAAGTGAGAGTTCGTGCTTGTTACTCTTGGTGATCGCCATCACCTAGACGGCTTGGTGGTGATTGGGAGTTTGGTGTTCACCCGGCGGAGCTTGTGGGTGACCCAACTCAAGTTGTGAGCGGCTTTGGGTGATTCGGCGCATGACGGAGTGTCGAAGAATCAACCCATAGAGAGCACTTGATCCTTGCGCGGATCAAGGGGGAGCTACATCCTTGCGCGGGTGCTCCAACGAGGACTAGTGGAGAGTGGCGACTCTTCGATACCTCGGCAAAACATCGCCGCGTTCCTTTCTCTCCCTATTTACTTTGAGCAATTCAATACTTGTTTTACATCCATAGAATTGCTTGCTTGAGTAAGGTTGGAACATAGGTGGTGAGTTCGTTGTGCTTTAGTTTGATAGAAACACTTTTCTAGGCACAAGGGGTTAATTGGGCTATCCGTAGGATTTGTTTATTGCAAGAGAATTTCGAATTAGCCCAATTCACCCCCCCTCTTGGGCATCTTGATCCTTTCAATTGGTATCAGAGCCTCGTGCTCACGTTTTTAAGCTTAATCGCTTAGAGCAAGATGTCTCACGGGGATGGACCTCCTCCTATCTTTGAGGGAGATGATTTTCCATATTGGAAAATCCGCATGGAGGCATACTTAGAAGCTCTAGATGTTGGAATTCTTAGAGCCGCCTCTCAAGGGTTCCCCGCACCTAGGAATGCCGCACAACTTCAAGGCGATGAAGTAAATTATGAAAAATGGAATGCAAAGGCTCGCAACACCATTTTTAGAGGCCTTTGCAAAGAGGTGTTCAATCGTGTAAGGAACCACAAAGACGCCCATGCTCTATGGTCGGACGTTTGTGCGCTCCATGAGGGAACCAAGAGTGAGCGTGAGGAACGCTATCATCTTGTGATTAAAAAGCTAAATTCTTTTGAGATGTTTCCCAAAGAAAGTGCTAATGAGATGTATTCTCGATTAAATGTTCTTGTAGAGGAAGTCAATGGGCTTGGACTTACTCAAATGTCACCATCCGACGTTGTGAGAAGAATCTTGAGTGTCCTCCCCATTGACAAATATGGGCACATTGTGACCGTGCTACATCAAGGTGATCTTTCCGCCGCTACACCGACACAAATCTTGGGAAAGATCAATGCTCATGAGATGTACATGCACATCACACCACAAGATGGCTCATCCTCTACAAAGAAGAAAGAGAAGGACTTAGCATTCAAAGCTAGCCAAGACAAGGGCAAAGCAAAACTTGAGTATGAGAGCTCAAGTGATGAAGATGATGAAGAAAGCCTTGCCCTCATGGTGAAGAAGACCACCAAGATGCTAAAA